GAGAGAGAGAGAGAGAGAGAGAGGGAGAGAGAGAGAGAGAAAGAGAAAGAGAGAGAAAGAGAGAGCGATGTATAAAGAGAGATCAAAAAGTGTATCTTATTTATTTTTCCAATCTTTGTTATGAAAGTCACTGAACGTTCAGAAAACAGAATATCGCCCTCATTATCAGTATCATTGTTACAAGTGCAATATGCCCGTTACTGATCTTAATATTATCTTTATTGCTCTATACTCTATAATTGTTGTTATCATTATCATAGTCAAAATTATTACATACCAGTGTGTGAAGGGTGTCAAGCTCTTGTCGGGAATCGATGATAGCGTTCTCCAGTCCGCTCAGTTTGCCTAATATAGCCGTGACGTCCTTTTGAAAAGCAGTGTCTTTGCTATTGCTCCAGAGGTCCTCTTCGGTTTGTGCGCCTTGGGTTTTAGACAATGTCACCAGTTCATCTGTTGGAGACGTCTGAACGCGCGTTTCTTTCATAAGCCGTGTTTTGCCCCTACCAGTTGACCTCTGATGGGAAAGTTCAGAGCCCTCTCGGCCGTCTGATCCTCGATAATATGTATTCATAAAGGTCCGAAACGTCTCCAAGATGTCCATCTCTACAGAACTTGATGAAAATCTACACTCAGTATTTCTCTGGTGTTCATCAGGGTGTGTTTGTAGCTGTGTGCAAGCAGGCGACATACAAGTTGGTCTGTTCAAAGTATTAGCTAAGTTATTATGTTGAAACTCGGGTCTTTCAAAACCTAGCTTTGCTGCCATCCCCGATGAACCACTGTGTTCCGAAAACTGCTGCTGCCATTTCAAGAACTCGGTGACGCATTGCGAAATTTTACGTTGCGAGACCCCCCTCTCATTGGTAGGCTGCCGCTGCTCACAACACTTACACCCATCTCTTTGGTGCTCTGATTCTTTCTGCCGACAAATAAAATGGTTTCTGCTTTGTTCAGAGCAAAACATGCATTGTGGATTTACATTTGTTGGCTCCAGTTGGCTGCCTCTTTTGAGCTCACTGATGTGGCAGCTTTCGAACATTTTGCCCATTGAATTTAGTCCGTGGTGTTCCACGTCAGTAGGAATATTGTAGTTTTGACTGTGCGCCCCGCCTCGTACGTTGTCAAATTCTGAGGTGTTTGGGTGGACGGGGAGGACATTTGTTATATTGCTCTCGATGCGTGGTTTTGTTTCAATGGTTGGTACATCCTGATCCCCTTGTTTACACGCGTTATGCACATCAGCCTCTTCACAAGAGACCGGGTCTTTGCTTACAATCGAACCTTTGTTTTCTCTATTTTCGATGACTTTCTGTTCCTCGATCTCCAAGGTGGTCCATGTTCCGTGAGTGTCTTCACATAAAGAAGAAATCATCTGCTGGCTCGTGGAAGAAGGGGGGCTCCCTAGGCTGGGTGTAACGTCGACGTTGGCCATGTCGGGGTTGATGCTCTCTTTCACAAGTTCTTGGTTTTCACTCACGCATAGAGTGGGGTCTGAATTGGAGTTCTCCTCGACTGATTGTTTGCTTTTACTTTCACGGGTCTGTGATGGTCCTGGTGATGGTTTTAACTTTAAATTCGTGTCTTCAGTGAGGAATTTCTCTTCAGCTATATTGTCAAAGAATTTGTATGCATCTGTGGGTTCCAAGTCCTGGGGAAACTGTTCCACCAAATCTACAGTCTTTTCAAATTCAATGTTGGCAAAATATCTGTAAGGACGCATAGTGGTGGTTCGTTCTTCTTCAGCCTTGTGAAACCGAATGACCTGTTCGTTTTCAGCCGTTTGCTTACCTGGAAAACGGGAACTATCCGTACTGGCATGAGGCTGCTCTGACACTTTGGCAGGTAACTGACATGCTGATGTCTCTTGAGGATTTCTCTGACTGCCTTCAATATGTAGATGCTTTGTATTACTGTAATTTTTGTAGTTTTGGGTTTCGCGGTGTATCGTTTTACTTTCATGTTCCTTAATAAATGGTAAACTTTCGATATTCCTTGAAGGCAGTATATCAATTGTTGAACATTGTGGTGGGGACTTTTTGGATTTGTCAGAATGTTTTGTCAGACTATATTCTCCACTTGTAGAACTGAAGGATGAAAAAAGGTCGTGTGATGTCGTGCACTCTTGAGTATCTACTGATCCCCTTCCACTGGGAGTCTTGAGGTCATTAACTGTCGGCGAATCTATAAGTGGTTTCGGGGGACTGGAGTCGTGTATGTGGAGTGATGCGACTCTGTCTGAACAGCAGTTAGTACGTTGTTGTTTTTTTTTACCATCCTCATCACAGGCTAATTTAGAAAGCCCAGAGGGGGGTGTCGGTTTTTCTGACTGTAATTTTATCAATAACAATTCAGAAGGAGTTGGTTGAAGAGAAATGTCGCTGTTCTCTGCTGAAGTTCCCTTCGAATCGCGAAATTCCTCAAAACTAGGAATGTTCATTTGGTCATTCGTGAAGTAATTAGAACATTTTTTCATATTACTTAAACCACAACATGTGGTAGTCGCAGACGGGTTGTTTTCAATTGTAGATAAGTATAATTTTACAGCATCATGAGCGCTTCTGTCATTAGTCCCACTTTCAGACAAAAGTACCGGTTTCAGACTTCTTGTAGACACAGACAACCGATGTGGGGACCGTGGTTTGTGATGCTTTCTACTACAGTTTGTCAACTGTATCAGCTTTGTGTCCACTTCCTCCTTCTGTTTCCGACGCAGAATATCCGAAGGACTGACGTCTTGACAGAGTTCATCTACACCGTTGTCTTCAATCCGGGGCAAATCTACTTTGGCCGACCAGAATGCTCCTTGGTTTGGAAAAATTTCCATCTTTCCCGAATCGGTGATAGCATCACACATTTTTCCTTGATGGCCTTTGCTAGCAGACCGTGTGTCTTTAAAACACGCCCAATCTTTAACAGAAGAACTGGTTGGCACCGATTGATCTGAAGTAGTGTCTGTATTTGTTGAACTAACTCGAAATTTGCCTGTGTCTTTGCTCAGGATCTGTCCTCCTGGTTTGCATTTTTTATTGTACAATTTTCCGACTGGCCCAGGTTCATAAGAATTGACAATTTCTTTGGTGTTCTCCAACCCTTGACGAAAGTTCCGTACACATTCCTTTCTCCTCTGGTTTGACTTGAGTTTTAAGCGTTGATCGGCAGCTACACTCCGATTTCGTGGTGGACTCAACTCGCTATGAACAATATTGGTCATATCATATTGCTTGAATTTGTCACTTTCTATTGATTCACAGGTAGTGCTAGTCGGTAAAGTGCAACCCCTTAGGAATCCGTCTCTTTTCAGCTGATTAGTGGGACTAAAAATTTCCTTTTGATATTGCTTGCTATCCAGCCTTTCGTGCTCAAAAGAATCATTGCGTCCAGTATCAATATTCTCACTCTTCGATTCTGAGCAAAGCAGCTCTGATAACAAGTCGATAGAATACCTTCTAGCTTTGTCTCCTGACAACTGCGTGTCTTCATCGTCGTCGTCCTCACTTAATTCGGTGTCTTGAGATTTTTGGACGTCAAAACAAGTATCATTTTCTTTTGACACTGTAGTTGGCCCTGGTGCCTCTATCGACTCTTTGGGTGTGCTGGTAATGTCTCGAGAAGCTAACGGAACTTTATCTGTGGAGGGGATGTCCTCAGATACGAGAAAGGTTGGAGACGAATGAGGTGCCCTTGTCTCAAGGTGCTCCAATTCTTCTTCTTTAGAAGCGTATCCTAGCGTTGAAGACTTTGTTGCAGATGCTTCTGGGTTAGTTGGAACCAAATCGCTGTATATTTCACGATGAGTGCCCGTATCTTCGACTTCGGAGTCACAAGGACTAGAAATGAGAAACGTCGACGTTCGTTTGATAGGTGAAACTTGGCACGAGTCTAAGTCCTCCACAACAAAAGTCTTTTCTCTCTTTAAGCCAAATTGTGGAGCAGTGACGCCTTTAGGTTTTGCGGCTTTGATCCATTTGCTGTTCAAACCAGAAGGGGGTCGTGTGCTTATTCGGTCTTGAAACGAAGTTTTCGTTGACGCTTGAAAAATCTTTCCTTCGACTTTATCATCTGCATAGTTCATTTCATTGAGGGAATTGTCTTTCTCTTTCTCTTTAGTCTCTCTCACCCTTGTAGTATTTTCGTATGTTCTTACTCCATGAGCTGTTTTATTCTCTTGCCCAATACCTAACTTGTCTCCATACTGTTTCGTGTTCAATCCATCTTTAGCGAAAGATTCAGATGTGCAGTCTTTATCAAAATTGCCACTGTTTGCTGAGACATTGGTATAACCAGAACTAATACAGTTTTCTACGGCTGAAGACTGATGTCTTATAAATGGCAACAAATTACTGTCGATTGCGGGAGACATTTTATTCCCATGAAGTATTATATTTGAAATCTTTTTAAAAAGGCAGGTTATTTGATCTGTATTATTTTCAGGATTGCCAGTGTGCTCTTGTGTCAAATCAAACAAACCCAATGCCTCACTCTCACAATTTCTATCGTCATCTATATCTGTCTTCGCTCCTAAATCGCCTTTTTTGCTCTTGTCGTCTCCTTGAGGGAAATAAGATTGACACCTCACAAGGGCCATATGCGTACAGTCTCCATCCTCTGCGTAATTATTAGGACTACTACTTTGTGAAGTCGTAGTTGATCTAATTCTTAGGCAGCTTTGAATAGTGTTGCTAATAACCCTATTGAGTTCATTTTGCACAAGGCGATCACAGCGCTCCACTGTCTGAGCAATAACAGCACTTTTGTTTGAAAAAAATATCAAATTTGGCCCATGTAATGAATGATGTTTTGGGTTATTACCAACGTCGGTCATTGACAAAGAGTGGGGACGAGATATCTCATTACCAGTCAGATGCTTAACTGTGATTTCACTTTTACAAGCACTGGGCTTACATGATCCTTTCGGTCTGAGTGTTTCTTCCTGAATCTCCGGGGACGTATCGTCGCTTTCATAATTCCATCCATGCGACTGTCTGTTACAAGCCTTGACAGATATTAAAGACACTTCAGGAGCATCGCTGTGTGGTTTGAGGAAAGAATTCCTCACTGCTGATTTATTACCCAGCTCCCCAATGCTCTCATATTTGGTGGTAAGTGTCACGTCTTGCTCACACAAAGTAGCAACACTGTCAGTCTGAAAGGATTCACTATCACCACACAGAGTGTCCTTACTCAAGTTTTCATCAACGCTTTCACGAGCTTGACTTTCCCAATATTTACCGTTCACAGCTCTTAAATTTTCACATTGATGATACACGCCCTGACTACTTTGTTGTGTGCGGTGGGGTACGTTTGCTTCCCCCCATTCTGATGAATAAATAGAATCTTCCCCGTCCGGACTGCAAAAATCCGCACTGTACTCTGACTGGGCAAGAGAACTGGTTTCGGAGAAAGTCTCCTGGTCTACACCTTGTGGACCGGAGAATTCAGAGAGGAATTTGCCATGATTATTAGTCAAGTTGGTGCTAGTGTCATCCAGCCCGTCACTTTCTGAGTCAACTTCTTGTAATGTTTCCAGATCGCTGCTGTTTTTGAGAAGTTCAAGGGTTCTTGTCCGCCTGTCTTCTAACTTTTCTTTCAGTTCCTCGATTAGAGATTTACTATAGTGTCGCCAGCTACTTCGTCTGTCCATTGTATTGAGAGGTGAAGAGACTTAACGATGACTACGTGAGAGAGTGCGGTCTTCTTGGCCCTTGACCCTTTGAAACATATATATTCATAAACATTGGACCATCGATCAAGCATCTAGATCTAGCACATCTAATCTAGATCTAGATTAGATCTAGAATATGTGCTTCAACAGTACCACTGAAGTTTTCATTAATGTGATTTACCTTAGAGAACGACAATAGTGATGTATTTAGTTTTTCAGTTTGGTAAGAGTTTTAAGGCGATCACAACTAAATCTATATAGATCTAGATCTATATCTAGATCTAGATCTAGATATAGATCTAGATCTACATATCTAGTCTAGATTTCTACATAAGGACCCCTACATAAAATAAGGTCATATGAGTCTGCTGATGTTTACTGGTCCTTCACAATGATCCTCATTTGAACAAATAACGTAAAATGAATCTTGAATGTTTGATTGTGTTTTGGGATAAGAGTAACCAATTGTACTTTCCTTACTGTCTAAAACAAGCTTCCACTTCCATCTTGAGAACGCGAACTGTTGTAAACATTGTCGTTTCCAAATACGTTGATAGTAACAAGAACTTCCGTTCACCGAAAATGCGAAAAGTGTGGATTACTTAAAAGTCTGAAAGGAATAAGCGCTGCATTGAAAAGTACGAAGAAAGATGATCACATTCTAGCATGAAAGAATTTTAACTATAAATATTTAAAAGCTCGATGTAAGGATCGTGGCGATCCAGTTAGCGAGAAACGGCATTTCCACCGATGATCAGTCTTTATTATACTGTGTCAGGTGTTTTCAGTTTCTCGGTGTGCTAATAAGTTTGCGTTCAGACACGACATAGAAGGAAAGTTCAAATAGGCGAGGCTAAATGAATGACTATCTCTTTTTTATATTTGGTATTTCCTTTCTGAGAGGGGAGGGGGGGGGGGGGGGGTCCAGAGATACTCCACCCTTAAAGTTTAAAGACTGCTACACATGATTTCATTCTTAGTTTCTGTCTACCAGTTAACATGCTCACCTTGGTCACCTACTTTTTGCATTACCAGCTGCGTTGTTGGTCGATTCCCTACTCCGAAACTTTTTGGCAGCAAAATGAAGCATATGGAGTGACAGGCTGTAAAATGTATTGCGTGAAGCAAGGTATTGTAAATAGAAACAATACACAGAAGCTGGAGGTGCAGTTGATTATTTCTTTTTCGTGACACCAGCAACACCACAGGAAAACAGTTGGTAGACAATTCTGTGTGAAGCAGAAGGTTTGCCAAATTGATTGAAGCTGCTACTTTGAGGCGCTTTAGGGTTTTCTGATGGATTGGGGGGGGGGGGGGTATCATTTTCCCCCCAAGGGCTTCCATTTTTGCACGCTTTTGCCATTTTAGGTTGTTTTATTTTGCCATCTGGGCCTAATTTTGAAACCCGAGTTTCACCTCTTTATTTAACACATCACATCGGGCGCAGGTGAAAATGTCTTCCAATTGCGAGGCAGGAGGCCGACTGACCGCGCAACAAATATATTTCGAGGAACTGTTAGGGTGCGATTTGATCAGCGTGTAGCCTATCTCTTGATGAGTTCAACTTCCCTATACAGAATCCTTGATTTTGAGCTATTTCAGCTTGCTGGCTCTTGCCGTTAGCGCAATTGTTGCTTGTTTTGTTTAAGCGTAAATCTCAAGCAAAATACTTTGAAAATTTAGTTATAGTACCCAGGAGTAACACCTTCTGGAGTTAAGGCGAATTACAGACTATGTGTAATTTAGATAATTGTTCGATTGTAGACCGTTGGCTAATATGTTCATTAGTTAAATCGAGTAAAATAAACTACTTCTGTGTGACGCACAGCGCATACACGTCCTTTTAGTTGTAAGTTATGTTGCTTTCAGACAGCCTATTCGATAGAGAAAATGCAAATAGGCGTACTAAAAGCAACGAAGGACACAATAAATGAAAGAACAGGCACAGTCGTGTTTGGACTGTTTGGACTGATTTTCAGTTATGCCCCTTGTGTTTTACACCATTTCTTCATTGAATCTCGGGTGATAAAGAGAACTCACTTTCATTTGTGTCCTCAGTTGCGTTATAGTAACATTAGGCACCAGAGAGAGAGAGAAAAGAGAGAGAGATAGAGAGAGAGAGAGAGAGAGAGAGAGAGAGAGAGAGAGAGAGAGAGAGAGAGAGAGAGAGAGAGAGAGAGAGAGAGGGGAGAGACAGACGAACAGATAAACAGACGGGCAGACATGGACAAATACAAGGAGACACAGAGACAAGCAGAGACACAGAAGAGAGGTATAGGGATCGAGAGAGAGAGAGAGAGAGAGAGAGAGAGAGAGAGAGAGAGAGAGAGAGAGAGAGAGAGAGAGAGCAACATAATTACATACATCACTTAAAAAGAATAGTTTATAAAATGTTTTCTCCTTTCGTTCTTTCACTTAAAACGTCTTAAAAACAATGTTATTGCTTAAACTTTCTTTTTTTTTTTTTTAGAGCATTACACACTTTGTAACTTTCCTCATTCTTATGTGTAAGTAAAACTCGAATAATATGGCCTATAAGTAAATGGAAAAAGTTTCGACTGTTGAACTTGGAATGCGGCAAGGGGTTGAACTTTCGACATAAAACAGAGTACCAATTTACTGAAAACGAGGTGAAATAACCCCATGAAATCTTACAAAAACTAAAAGAAGCCCATTAGAAACATTATTGCAGGTTAAAAACTCTTTCTAATAAGCTTCCATTACAAAAAAGGTTCAAAACAAAGTTGTAAGACAGTCTCTATTCAATATTTTTGTGCAATAATTCTGTAGCTTATTGGTCCTCACAATGGCCTTCCCATTCTCTTTGTTAAAAACATTATAGTATTATTAGGTCTATAGTTTTGGTCGTGTGTTGACGCATGGAGACGCAATTACTTATTCATATAGGACCTCTCGGAAATACCCCGAGGAGAAACTATACTGCAAAGCTACCACCACTGCTACCTACTTGAGAGAAATCGCTCATTCACACAGTAAGATAGGGACACTGTTAACATCCTTATGCAAATCAATTTGCCCAGAAGCAAGTAGCCTATTTGTAACGGCAAGAGTCGAGTTAATAATAACGGCGAACAGTATGCGTTGACCACTTGCAAATTCATCAGTTTCCATTCTTTGCAGAATTTCATGCTTGCACCACTGCTGCTGAGAAACGAATTAAACTTTTGTTCTCAAGTGTTTCTGTTCGAAACAAGCGGATGTGACCATAAGATATAATACAATAGTGTCCGGAACAGATTTCTCCGAAGTAAACTAGTAATCATGAGGGCTTCGTAATAAACCATTGCATTACTAAGAATGCATTTCTAAATTGCATTTCTGTTGGTTGTTTTTTTTGGTGTTCAAAGGGTTTTAATATGGACCTACAGTTTGGTGAATAAAAATGTTTTAGCTGTGTTTACAGGATAAAGGTGAGTTATAAAACGTGCTGCTTTCAAATTTTAAAAATTATCTATCTATCTATCTATCTATCTATCTATCTATCTATCTATCTATCTATCTATCTATTTGTCTGTCTGTCTGCCTGTCTGTCTGCCTGTCTGTCTGCCTGTCTGCTTGTCTATCTGCCTGCCTGTCTATCTGTCTGCCTCACTGTCTGCCTGTCTGTCTGCCCATTCGTTTCATTCAGGATTTTACATTCGTCATCTGATTCGTTAATCTGGGCTTTGAAATATAGCTTCCCTTCCCCCCTTTCCCCCTTTTCTTTCCGTCGAAAGTTAGCTCAGATTGTGACAGCACCACATGTTTCTTCCCCAGGATATTAGATTGACATGGACGATCTCAGCGCTCTGGACGTTCTGGATGAAAGGACTATTCTCGCAAGCCTCAAATACAGATATCAAAGGGACAAAATATACGTAAGTTCTTTCAAACTGTTAGGGAAAATATTTTGTTTGTTTACAAACCGTCTTCTTCAATTGCATCGAACTATATGCAGAAGGCTTTGCATCTATTTTCTTTATTAACAGCAATAGTGAAAACATTGTAGGCCCCTGAAGGTTCAAGTTTTACTGTAATTAGATTATAATTATTAAAGAAACTAGATGTCTACTCTCCTATTTTTGTTGTCTCTTTCGTTTTTTGACAAATCCATTTTTTGGCTTGAAAAAAATTTAACAAAGACTAAAAAATCACATAGAGTCATAATTTGTCTTCTTAGAAATGCCACCCACTCTTGGCCTATTTCGCTGTTTCATAAACACAAATTTTCTCAGACACAAATTTCATTCCCCTTCTAAATGCCACATCACATTGATTGTCCGCGTTTGTTTTTGATTATACGGATGGAGCACAAAACCTTCTTTTTCATTTTGAAACAATTAAGTTGATTTGACGTTTGATTTCAAATACAGCATGAGTGGATAATACAAGGCTTAATACGATAATTGGATCAATGCATTTCAAAGTTTCTTTTGGACGCCTCTGTTTATACACCCCAAAACACGCATGTTTCTTTGATTTCACACACTTTTGCTAAGTCTGATTTTTAAGGTAAATATTGAGTAACCATATCTCAGGCGGATCATAACATACATGAAATACTAACGTGTCAGATCATGCAGAATTTATTTAGCTTTAAATTGGTAAATTTGGTATGCTTCATGAGTGGGTTGTGCTAGGCTTTAAAACGATAATTGGGTGATGACATTATGTTTTGCTATAGCCCGGATAGCAAACGTCAGTTTTCTGTTAACTTTGAAATACCTGGCAACAGCAAAAATGAAAGGAACGCGCCGATGGCTTGGTTTTTCAGATTTTGAGGTAAACCTACCATGTTTCTTGGGTGATTTTGTTTGCTTTTTTGCGTAAAAAGAAGCACATCGACACAATAATGGTCATTTCGTGCTGGGAAAAAGTAAGACAGACAGACCGAAATAACAGAGAGGAAAGTAAAGAAGTAGGACCTACCAGTGGCGCCCTCCAACCACCCACTTGGGTGACAATGATCAAATGTTATAGCGGTTTTTGATAAACAAAGACCTAAATTTCAAACTCAAAAGTCTAGATTTTTTTTTTCATGCAATCAAAAAGTGGTACCGTTCCTTTGATCGCCAGTTTAATATTAGGGCACAGAGGGAAAGGCCAGTCATTTCACTTGGACAGTCGTTGCTGGAATGTGCATACCAGGAAGGAAATAGCTTGTGGCGCGGTTAGCACAATTATGTATTACATTCATTCTTTGTGTGCCTTAAACATTCTTTAAGCCGGCGATAGCAGGGTAAGAGTTCTTCAGACTTGTGCTGACTGTATTGGAAATCTGATATTATAGCTTAGACAGGTTGTTCAGAGCTCTAGCTCGTTCACTTTCGTCTGACAGCGGTTAAAATGGGATAGAAAAAAATCGCTCTTTTTAATCTTTCTGGGTCTTTGTATGCAGATCTAAAAGTTAAGCGACCAACATAATCTAAAAGCCCATTCATAAATGTCACTGCAAACTGAGGTTCCGATACGCTTTCTTTGATGTGAGCCTAAAGCGGGTAAAAAAATGATAAGGGATTTACAGCATACACCTAAAGCATTTAAAAGTTGACATATTTGCCTCAACACCACCATTTCAGGTTCTTTTAAAGCGACCCACACACGCTCAAACTTTTTCATCAGTAGTATTGACGTCAAACTTTTAGACAGTTTTGACGGTTGCCATACACGCTCTATATTATTGTGCAATATTCAGTTTGTGAACGGCAATGCACGGAGCAATAGCGCTGGCTCTTGCGCTAATGTGCCACAAGCGAAGAAGAAGTACAACAAAGAAACAAACTAAGTGGGCCCAGCAGTGGTTTCTTCAACGCGCTAATTTTGGACACAGTGAACTATTGAAAGAACCGAGGAACCATGAACCAGAAGATTATAAAAGCTTTTAAGAATGGAGGGACTTTCTTTTAATGAATTGCTGGAACTGGTGGGACCTCACATCATAAAACAAGATACAGTTATGCGCAAGGTCATATCTCCTGCAGACAGAATGTCATTAACCCTCCGATTTGCACAGTCTTTCTTCTGCCTGTCACTGTTTTCCTTGCTTTTAATTTTCCAAAGCGCAGGCAAACTCTTATAGACTTCTATGAGTTCAAGAAGAACATTCTTTTTTTCTTTAGACGGCGCTATGATAAATCTCTTCTCTTCTGAAAATCAAAAAGTGAATTTGACTCAAAATATTGATGAGTGCCCACACACACTCAATAGTTTGACGGTTTGTGCAAAAAATATCAACTGAAACAGATCCATCAATGTATTGACGTCTATACTTTTGAGGCCATCAATACCGCCCCTACACGTAACAAAGCGTCAAAAAGTTTGACGTCAATACTATTATTACTGATGAAATATTTTGTGCGGGCCGCTTAAGAAATACGATCATAATACCTCATGCAGTAGCGAGCGCCGTAAAACCTCTAATAAAAAAAAGAAAAAAGAAATACAATACAATTCAAGAGACGGGGTGAGCATTTTTCGAGACTCACATGGAGCACGTGGAGACGTCTAGACAGCCGTGGGTTGAAATCGACAAGCTTACCCTGAAATGTGGGAGCAGGGTGGTGTCGCTTTCTCAAAATGAGCAATTTGTAGGTAAGGTTACAGTAGTCATTATTTAAGTGATGCTGTGTATGTATCCAAATAGCGATTTTTAATATACGGCCCGTAAAGAAAAGCTTTTTTATTACAGAGTCAAGATTTTTTTGAAAATTTGTTTGGTTGCTAGCCTGCAGAAGTGCCATGCAAAGTTTCGTGGGCATAGATTTAGGTGATTTCCTCAATGAGCTAGATTTTTTTTTAACGCGGTCAGATGTAAGTGAACAAGCTATACATGGAAATTTCATAGAAAGACGTGAGAGCAGGTAAGTGATGGGTGACCGAATCAGACCTTTATGACCAATGATGAGCATCATTCACCTTTTTTTTTTTAAGGGGGGGGGGGGGGGGGGGGGCGAAAGAGGCATTTTGCCATGTGACGTGTGTCATGTCTTGCGAAGCACGAAGACCATGATGCCGAGCACTGTTCATCATTGCATGACGTCTTGTTTTGCATTGTTTCTATTAGGCCCACTGTGCGTCATAATATGACATATTACTTTGTTTTGTTCCTGATAGACTCATGGTCAGTCACACTATGGCGTATTATTTTGTATTGTTCCTATCAGGCGCGCTACTCAAAACTAAACAGATTTAAACTGAGCAGTATCATTTCAGAATGAGCAAATCTTTTGTTTTTAGAGACTGTTGTTAGGGTGAAGGCGGTAGAAAAAGTACATGGGATGTGCGAGGTTGAATATTATATAATTGTAATGCATATGTGTGTAAAAAGGTAGGGGTGAGGATGAATGAGCAGGACTTGATCGAAGGGGTTAAGGATAAATGATATGGAGAGGTGAGGGGGAAAAGAGATGGAGGGGGTAGATGAAATGGGGATGTGGCGGGAGAAGTGAACGGGGCGGATGAGATGAATGAGGCGTCTCTGCGTTAAATATTTGTTACTTATCTGAAGTGTCAGGCAAAGAAAACCCAATCAGGTAATGACGAAACACAACATTGTAAATGACATTATTTGTTAAACCCATCGCTATCACCTGCATCTGTTTTGAAACAATGAAACTACTCCGTTGGGATTTGACTCTCTTTCTCTTTGTGTGGCAGTCTCAGTTATAAATAACATGTCCTCCTCCTCCTCCTCCTCCTCCTCCTCCTCCTCCTCCTCCTCCTCCTCCTCCTCCTCCTCCTCCTCCTCCTCCTCCTCATTATCATCATCATCATTATCATCATCAAGTGTCTTGTCTGGTTGTCTGGTTCAGACATTGGCGGTTATGATTTTCCACCCCTCTCTTTCATTCGATCGAGACACTCATTAATAAGTCGTTGTTCATATTAAAGAAACATACTCGTGATGAAATATTTCGTTACGTGTAGGCTAATACTTATTATTTTTTGCTTTTGTTGGTTTCTCTCACAGACTTTCTTGGGCGATGTCCTTGTGGCTATCAACCCGAACAAGACCTTACCAATCTACTCACAGCAGGTGAGGCGGCTTTTAATGAGGGTGTTTTAGCCTCCTGTTTGTCAGAAACGAGGCTCTCTGCTGTAAACAATTATCAAAACAATTGAATTTAAGATAAAGCTGCTGTACCACTGCCTCTCAGGGATACCTGTACCACTCTGTATTGTACATTCCCGGTAAAAATGTGACAAAATAATATCTTCCCCACAACGATAACGAGCTAATGCGCTTTCCATGATAGGCAAAATCCCAAACCGGACCACAAAACAGCAGCGTCTGAGGTGTAGCGGTTACACCCCTCGCTGTCGCACTCAGCAGGCTCAAGTTCAATCCTGAAGTGGGGAGAATATTTTCTTTAATCGAGTATCTCGGTCTTTCCTCTAGGATGTTATATCCCTCTCAGCCCGGGTTGGCCCTGACAGGCAGAGTCGAAAGTTCACCTCCTAATTGATCTAAAATCTACACAGATAAATAAATACCCCCCCCCCCCTTTACACCCCCATACCCCCCCCAAAAAAAAAACAAACAACAAAAAACAACAAAACAAAACAAGAAACAAACAACAAAAACAAACAAAAAACAAACAAAAACAACAAAAACATCCAGTTCTCTTAAAGTTGAATTGTCTCGCTCCCCCAGGACCATGAACGCTACCAATCTGAGCTCTGTGAAGAATCCCCTGCACCACATGTTTACTGGACAGCTGAGCAAAGCTACCGGAGACTCACTCGATCCCGCCAAAACCAGTGTGTCCTGGTCAGTGGGGAGTCAGGTAACTTCATTTCACTTTATGTTGGGGACGTAATTCTACCCGTATCCGTTTCCATACCTATACCCCTACACGTTCCCGTCCCAATAACCATACCCATACCCATACCCATACCCATACCCATACCCATATCTATACCCATACCTATACCCATACTTATAACCATACCTATACCTATACCCATACCTATCATCATCATCCGGTGCCTTGCCGACTGGCGTGGGCGACCATGGACCTCCACTTCACCCTGTCCTTCGCTGCAGCAATGGTGTCTGTAGTTCTTGCTGCTCCCAACCATGTTGTCATCTTGTCCAGTATCTTTTCCCTCTGTCTGCCTCTGCCTCTCTTTCCATCAAACTTTCCTGTTGTGACAATATTCTCTAATGCTTCTTTCCGCATTGTGTGTCCGAAGAAATTTGCCTTTCGTTTTCTTATATTCGTGATAATTTGTTTTCTATAATTTGCTTCAACCAGGACTTCTTCGTTTGTTTTTCTAGCTGTCCATGGGATACGTAGCATGCGTCTTATGAACCACAACTCTGTCGCTACAATTGTTCTTTCCAGCTGTTTATTGATTGTCCACGCTTCGCACCCGTATAATAGGATTGGCTCGATGTAACTTTTTAGTACTCCTTTCCTCGTTTCCAGTGACAGATTGATGTTTGTGAGCATCTGTTTCATCTTGTGGAAGGCTGTTTTTGCTTGGCAAATGCGGCTTTTAATTTCGGTGTGACATCTACCATCTGATGATATAATGGTCCCCAAATATTTAAAATGTTGTACTTGCTTGAGGGTGGTATCGTTGACTTTGATATTGCATGTTGGGATTGGAGTTTTTCTGCTTATCACCATCGTTTCGGTTTTCTTGATGTTTAGGCTTAAGCCCATGTTGTCACTCTCTTGTACGATGACATTTAATAGATTCTGCCGGTGTTCTTCATCTTCTGCTGAATCTATTAAATGTCATCTATACCCATACCCATACCCATACCCATACCCATACCCATACCCATACCCATACCAATACCCGTACTTATACCCATACCCATAGCTATACCCATACCCATACCCATACTCATACCCATACCGGAATCCATATCCATGCCCACACCGTTATCAATACCCATGTTATCCGTACCCATACCCATATTATTCAGACTCATACCCTAAGATTTAATTCAAGAAGCAAATCATGCAGAACACATTTCCCTGCAAACCCAACACGGGCTATATTATCAATAATAATCTGAATAATTTACATTGGAAAAGTTAAGCATAGTTGCAGAGATTTAAACTGACACTCTTTAATCTAAATCTGAGCAATTTTATGAATAAATCCGTCCAATTAACGGCACCAGAACACAACCCTGTCCTTAACACGTGTTCGAACTGTCTCATCTGTCTGTCCCCAGACACTTTCTTTTATATATGGTCGCATTTAAGCACAAGGGGGCTCTCCCGAATAATGCTGTTTTGAGAAAATCGAATGTAAAGTTTTTGCACCTTGTTCAGTTTCTTTAAAATACAAAGAGTTTTTTTAAACCACAGAAACATACACACCAATGAAACCAAACTTCTCCTATAGGTAGGGCAATGTCCACTTTTGGTGTAGGTCAAGATTTCTGGAAACCCTCGAAATCTTGGCTAGCTCGCTTGTCCTTAATTATAAGAGACCATATATGACACCCCCCCCCCCCCATCCCCGTTGGATTTACGCGTTCCCAGGCACCGGCAAAACAGAGTCGACCAAGTTTTTTATTGACCACATCTCCTTTCTGTGCAACACCACAAGCCACAAGCTGAACGAGAAGATCACAAGGTTGAATCCACTGTTGGAGTCTTTCGGCAACGCGGTGACCCCCATGAACTCCAACTCCAGCCGTTTCGGCAAGTTGATTGAGCTCATGGTGGACGAAGGGGGAGAGTTAACTGGAGGTGAGGAAAAGATCTGTCTTTCTAGACAACATACGCGAGCAGACAAGCAAAATTACAGACACATACACACACGAAAGAAAACACTCTCTCATATATTCACATGTGTATAGCGCAAATGGTGTAGGAAGAATTGAGAGAGCGATAGAGATAGATAGAATATAGAGATAGATAGATAGATAGATAGAGAGAGAAAGAGAGAGAGAGAGAGAGAGAGAGAGAAAGAGAGAGAGAGAAAGAGAGAGAGAGGAGGGAGAAGAAGTTTATCAGTATCTCCTTTTCTACTCTCTCTATTTTTCCCCATTTTCTTCATATCTCAGGTGAACTCCAAAATGTCACATTTATGCCAAAAAGCTACAGATCACTTTTTCAGTTTTCCAATAATATATTAAAAAATATCCTATGCTCGTCATTCGTCTTGCTTATCATTCTTGCTTGATTTTTGTTCGATCTTTACAGCCAGTCAGTAGCAAGCGGTCCCTTTAAAGCCCCGAATTCTACATTCTGTCATTCTGGTCGCCATTGTATTGGTTCTTTCACGGTTGTATGGTTAAGGATTTTAAAAAGATAGAATAATTTAGTGAGATATGATGCCTCTTTCATAAGAAAAAAATAGACTACAAGATAATCTCTGTTTCATTTCACTTTTCTTACCATTGTTCCTTTTTCTTCTGTTGAGGGTCGTTACTTGCATTGTTTTTTGGGGTCTCATGCCTCAAATCAAATACATATTCATCTTTTATTCTGTTGCATCAGCAAAAATCCAAGATTATCTTTTGGAGAAATCACGAGTTGTGAGTCAGGGCCCTGGAGAGCGAAACTTCCACATCTTTTACCTGTTGTTTGCGGGGCTGAGCAGAGACCAGAAACAGACCTTCAACATTGGACCTGTGACAGATTTTCGGTGTGTAAACC